CCTGAACACCACAGGTCTCAACAAATACCTGTTAGCATGTTTATTTTTATAAAATAGGTGAATTGGCCTAAAAATCATCCACAGAGTATACAGACCAAGAACCAGAATGTGGTTATCTAGACTCCCAGTCCAGTGCTAATTCAATAAGCCTATTGCTTCCTAAGAATCCCATTTTAGCTTGAAGGTTTAGTCTGCTTTGCTGGGCAGAAATCGAGTGTGACCATTGGTTATTCACTGATCATTCACTGGGTTGACCACATTGCACTCATTAGTTGGAGAATGAAGATCTGCTGACACACCTCTTAGGGGAGAGGAGTGGTTATGCTCAGGGAAGGCAGATTTTCATGTGAGCCAAGAACGCCACATCGGACGCACAGATTCCATTACGTCCCCACATGGCTCTCTCAGGATATGGTTCTAAATGATCTCTCCTAACCCTGCTTCCTTTCTTCCCCTGCCCAGGGCACGGAAAGAACGATACTTCGAATTCCCCTTGCTAGAGCGGTACCTGGCATGTAAGCAGCGCTCACATTCCCTAGTGGCTACCTACCTGCTGAGGAACTCCCTCTTGCTCCTCTTCACCTCAGCCATCTACCTGTACCTTGGCCACTTCCACCTGGATGTCTTCTCCCAAGAGGAATTCAGCTGTTCCGTCAAGACAGGGCTGCTAAGTGATGAGACCCACATGCCCCATCTGATCACGTGCAGGCTGACCTCTCTGTCAGTTTTGCAAATTGCTAGTCTCTCCAGTATAACAATATACACCCTGTTGGTTCCAGTGATAATATACAACCTCACACGACTATGTCGGTGGGACAAACGACTACTATCCGTCTATGAGATGCTCCCAGCTTTTGATCTCCTCAGCAGAAAGATGCTGGGCTGCCCTATCAATGACCTCAATGTGATCCTTCTTTTCCTCCGAGCCAACATCTCTGAGCTCATCTCTTTTAGCTGGTTGAGTGTCTTATGTGTTTTGAAGGACACAACCACCCAGAAGCACAACATTGACACAGTGGTCGATTTCATGACATTATTGGCTGGCTTAGAACCCTCAAAACCTAAACATCTCACCCACCGAATAGGTGATGAAAACCCTTAGTTAAGAAACCATGGAGCAAGAAATTTTATGGAAAGTAAAACTCTCCCTCCTTCTTCACAAGCCTCACACACTAATGTACATAAATACCAACTTTAGAAATGCTAAGTGTGGATTCAGCTGAATCATCCATCCTGTATTATGTTTTCCTAAAGGTGAGAAGATAAAATCAACACATGAAAACAAATCTGTAAGTTAGAGCTGAAGAGTCAAAGAATTTAAAAAATTAGGTCTAGAGCATTCTATGAGGATAGAAAAAAAAAAAAAAGCTAAAACTAAACTAAAAGTCTAGACATTCTACAAGGAGAGAAAGTTCCAAAGGCTATTTATGGAGGCAGGTTCTTCTCTGTATATTTACTCCATGGCCCTTCTAGGATGCACACTCAGCTTAACCCAAAGAGCATGTGGGGCAATCTGCCAAGTGAATAAAAACGTGAAATCCCTGGAAACCCTGTGGTGTGGCCTGAAATCCTAGGAACTTGCCAGCTTGCTTCGTGGAAGTCACTGACCCTGGCCAGACCCTGTGTGGCCCGCAGAGTGGGCCAGAAGATAATGATGCAGGAATTTACCTGCTCTTGGGGGTTAGGACAGCATAGAACAAGGCCAGGGCCATGCGTCAGCTGTGGGTGGAGCTATGGTGGTTTTCATCATCTAAACCAGAAACTCACTTCACCAAGGGCTGGGGTTATGGGCTGTGGACTCCTTCATGACTCCTAATGGGTCCAGGTGTGCTTCTAATCCTCCAGGGGATGCTATACCTCCTCCACTTAGAGCCAATCACTGAATAGCAACCACTTAGAACTAAATGGGAATGATAGTAAAGTGCTGTTGCCCTTTCTCTCTCTTCTCTGACTCATTATCCCATTTTAGCTTCTAACTTCCATTTCTGTGTCTGAACTTAATGGAACCTTAGTCTGACTTCAGACGCCCCGCTCAGCCCACAATACCATGTTGTCTCTCATTGGATATTTCTTTTTAGAGCTGCATATTTCTTCAGAGAATTTTTGTATAGGCCATTTAGACCCTTCCTCATATAGGTAAGCAGAAAAATTATATTGCTCCCATGCATCTGATGATGCTGAGCCTTCGAATGTGCTGTCTACCCTGCTCAAGATGCCCTCCTCCGTTCTTCACTGGCCGCCACCAGCTCTCCTTCAGAGTCTGCCCAGCCGTATTTTCTTCAGCATGGCTTCTCTATCTCCTCCCCTGTTCCCTAACTATGTGCTGCCACATCATTCAATACCTACCTCTGAGATAAAAGTTATTACCCCGTATTAATACTGCCCAGGCACCCAGACAGGTGCCTGTCTTTTCCTCGTAAATAAGTTTCCTAAAAGTTGTGTCATAGTGGGCACTAAATAAATACTCTTCTGAATAAATAAGTGACTGAACGTTGCTTGACAATGTTATATTGTTTGGAGCACACAGACCCAGCCCCTAAATAATCTTGTATAAAAAAAAGCTTTGTGCGCAAAGATGCACTTCACAGCAACTGATGACCAAAAACCAAACAACATGGAAGTAATCATGTAAAATTATTATGCCATAACTAGAATATTAAGGATCCGTTTGAAATTATGCTTATAAAGCAGTCGTAATAACACCACAAAATGACTATAATAATGGTAAGTGGAAAAAAAGGAAACCTTGTATTATCTAACATACATAAAAATGCATGAAAGTATTAACCACACATGTTAAAAACAGCTCACCCTGTGTGGCAACATTATGGATTTTTAAAAATCTTCTTTGTACTATATTTTCTAAATATCTAAAACTTGCACACAGTGTTTTATAAGTTGTAGGGAAATGTTTCTAATGATGAAAAAATATTTTAATTCAAATTCCACTGAAATCCATTGGCCAGAGCAGCTTGAAAACTAAAGCAATGATCACACTTTCCCTCCCACTAAGTATGATACCAGCATATGAAGAGGAATAGTGAAAATAAAGTCAGATCTCAAAGCCTCCAAGGACAAAATATAGCTGGACAGCAAATAAATCATGCAGTTGGCAAACAGATTTTAAAAAAGAAAAAAAGAAAAAGACAATCTCTCCCTATCACTCAATTATCTTTTCTCAGGTTCCAAGAAGCAATCTATACTAGCAGAGGTATGATTGTGGGTATTTCGTAGGCTGAAAATATTCCTTGTAGTTTCCAAAAATGATTCTATTATGGCTGCCTTGAGTTATGGTTCTGAAAGCACACTGGCTCCCTGAGGAGTTGCTCTATTAAAACCCAGCCAAGTCCAACAAGGACAGCCTGCAATATGGAGGGACATAAAAGAACTTTCCTAAGACTCTGCTGTGTTAAAACCATTTTGTCAGACCCTGTCACTATTTTTTATAGTTTGCAGAAATGACATACCTGGGTCATCAATTCTAAACCTCTCTTTTTGAACTCTGATTATAAGTTACTTATACGCATTAGCGTTACATTTTTCTCCAGTAATTCACTTGTTTTAACTATGTACATAGTTTCCTTAATTTCCATATACAACTCTAGAAGTCTACGTTTTGAATATGTAACTGTAATTATATTTTAGATCAGTAAGAGTACCTTACAACTTAGAACCCTCATTAGCCCCCATTATTCTAAACAGTATATTGTGTTTTTTTTTTTAAAGATTTTATTTATTTATTTGAGACAGAGAGAATGAGATACAGACAGCATGAGAGGGAGGAGGGTCAGAGGGAGAAGCAGACTCCCTGCCGAGCAGGGAGCCCGATGCGGGACTCGATCCCGGGACTCTAGGATCATGACCTGAGCCGAAGGCAGTCGCTTAACCAACTGAGCCACCCAGGCGCCCCAGTATATTCAGTTTTAAACAGGAAAAACCTATGACGCAGAGGCTCACTCAGCTAGTTATGGCATTGCTGGAATAAGCAGGAATACATGCCTTTCATCTTCCAAACCTGAGCCTTTTCCTACACCGCTTCGTAAACAATTGTCTACCCTCCTTATTTGATGATTTTAGATAGACCTCGGCTACAAAGTTAGCTATAAACATACTTGTAGTTTCGTCAAGAAAACGTTTACTGAGTGCCTACTTAGTGCTAGCATGTTATTAAAATTGCGTGTTAGATCTTGTCTTCCCTATTAGAGTCTAACCTGAGGAGGCAGAGGCCTTTTTTTCCATTCACTAGTGTCGTCCCGGATCCTAATAGGCTCTCAAGAAACCTTTCTGCGAGCTGTATACAAGAAAGCCGCAGTCCCAGCACTTGGGTTCAAGTGCGTCCCACAATCCGGGAAGACCTGTGTTAAGAAGTGTGGGAAACTGGCGTTGAAACCCAGTGGGCTGGCGGGAGCAAGTGTGAGATTCGCGCCGGGAATACGGGGCGGGGTGGTTAGGCCTCAGCTCCACACACTCCAGCTAGACACACAGCGCGGAGTCACAGAAAACCGTCTCCCGCCACCTTCACCCGGCCGCCTCCCCGCTCGGATCCGCCGACCGGCACTGCCGCGAACACCGCAGGCTCACCGCCCCGGAAGTTACCCGCGGCCGGCGCCGTTACGTAACTTCCGGCCAGGACTTACTTCCGAGGCAGACGCGGAAGTGCGGGGAGGCCCGGGGCTGAGGTTGGTTGCCGGACTTCTGGCCCGGCCGTCCGCCTTGGGAACGTTCTGGAAGGATAGATTCCTAAGAGGCCGGATCCCGGCAGCCCAGACGAGACGAAGCCGGCGCTCTTCGGCCTAGGAGCCGATGCCGGCCGCGCCCTGGAGGCCCCGTAGCGGGGCCGGACCATGAGCCTGCTGGGCGGCCCGGCCTCCTCGCCGCGGGCCCCGCTGCAGTCCGGCAAGGCCAGGATGAAAAAGCTCCCGAAGAAGAGCCAGAACGAGAAGTACCGGCTCAAATACCTGCGGCTGCGCAAAGCGGCCAAAGCCACCGTGTTTGTGAGTCTGACCGTCGCTCGGCCTTTTGCCTCGACACTCGTGATTCGCGACATCTCTCCCCACACCGTTCCCCTCCCAGAGTGGCAGGAACAGTAGTGTTAGCTTTTGCAGTACACGTTACTTCTCGTTAGCCTTGTGTCCTTGGACAAATTAGGTAGTTCCTGTACTCTTCTCTTTCCCGACCCGTGAGAGCCAACTACCTTTCGGCGTTGTGAAGATTAAGTGAGGGAAGTGAAGTGTTTGGCACCTAGAAGAGGTGCCAGTAAGTTTCAGTCATTGTCGTTCTTACCGCAAAACTCTTGGAAAGGCGTTTGATTCTCAAGAGAACCCGAGAGTGAGGCATTGTTTTTAAAAAATGGCAACACTGAAACCCAGAGAGATGATGTGCACAAGGGCACTGTGTCAGAGCCCTGATTCCAACTTAGTCACCCTGGTCCTAGTTTACTGCTTCCGCTAGCCAGCCTATTCCCCAGCACCCCGAATACGCACAACTGACCTCTTCCCTCAACAGGCACGTGAAGCTTTCAGTAATTTACCCCCCTTCTAATCCCTTGAGTCTCTCAAGTATTCCTGCTGTTCTTTTATTGTAGAGGCGCTGAGTTTATTAAGTGAACTGGCTTGCCGGACACAACTTGCGTGGCGGTATTCTGGCTTGCTCCAGCTTGCCTCAGTGCTGGGAAACAGGGAATGGAGTCCTCGAATGTGCTTCCATGGCTGAATCACCACCTTACCTCTTCTTTCTACCAAAAGCTTTGAATATCTCTCAACATTTTTGTAAGGATAAGGGAAGGTTTGGAAATTAGAACGTTATTTTCAAAAGCATTTATTTAGCACTTGTGTGCTCTGGAGACAAATGAAGAAAGTAGAATTAAGAGGACTTGATACTTCATTGGCCAGTCCCTTTCTTTTGTCCTCTACATGTCAAAGGTACGTAAAGTCTGAACATTAAGAGTTTGAGGTCCCACTTGTGGAACATCCAGATGAGAGCATTTCCTTTACAACTGATGCTTGGGAAACAGATTGAGTCAGAAAGATGATACTTGAGTACACATAAGTAGATTATGAAGTTTAAGAATTTTGCATACTAGAGTTGATTTTATTCTGTCCAGTTTTTCTCTTTAAGGTTCATGTTCCATGGGATGCTTTGGGTTAGGTTGGTTTTATGAGCTCCCCAAGAGTCAAGGCACTTAGGAATGGATATTTCTCATATTTGTAAGGATTAAATTTAAGCATATATGGATTTAAGCGGTATGCCCTTTTCTCTGCCAATACCCTAATTAGGGTGATCATACATCTTGGTTTGCCTAGGAGACCCTTGTCTACCATACTGTACTGGCATAATAATTAATAGCACCCCCTTTTCACTCAAATATGCCCCAGTTTCAATAAGTTATGTAATTACCCTGCCCATAGTGGAACTTGCCTCTGCCTTTACTGTAGGTTTTTTTAATAGTTTCTCTGCAAGGTAGAGTAGCTCATCCTTCTCACCCAGCAACACTTCTTTGGTTTGAAATACAGATCTTCTTGGAGTGCCTGGGTGGCTCAGTCTGTTAAGCACCTGACTCTTGATTTCAGCTCAAGTCATGATCTCAGGGTCATGAGATCGAGTCCTGTGTTGGGCTCCTCGCTGGGCATGGAGCCTGCTTCGGATTCTCTCTCTTTCCCACTCCCTCAGCCCTTTCCCCCCACCTTCCCCTCCATCTCGTTCCTGCGTGCGAGCTCTCTCTCAAAAAAAAAAAGAAAAAAGAAAAGAGAAATACAGCTCCTCTGCCCAGAGTAATACTTTGATCTTTTACTCTTTTTATGTGATTATATCCGAAAATTTTTCTTAAAGGAAAATGCTGCTATTTGTGATGAAATTGCTCGTCTGGAGGAAAAATTTCTTAAAGCAAAAGAAGAAAGACGGTGAGCTGCCTTCATTTTGTGTTCAGAATCACATTCTCAGTGATTGATATGGTGTTACTGTTCTGGGAATTTTTCTCCAGTGGAATTTTTGTGCATTACAACCCATTGGCTACTGATCAAGTACAGAGAAACTCACAACCTCTAGTACTGGTTCCCATTTACCCAAGTTGTGTTGGACCCTGGGGATGAGACAGCTCCTTTATTCATCTTTCTAACACAGCCCTCTTACCACATCTAATGAGCTATCTTCTTGTAACTCCCCAAGGGAGAGAAAGAGAAGGGATAAAAGAAACTGCCTCTCATTCCACAAATACTCAATATGTACTACTCTGTGCAAAGCACAGTGGGTATATATAAAATATATACATAAACAGGTCCTGGTATGTGCCCTCTGGAAGCGTAACACCTTTCATCATCAACATCTATAGATGCAAGAGAGATAAGTTACAGTCCTTATCTTTGGCTCCTTGACGTATTGTCCTCTGGAGCTTCATTATTCCCTGGGCCCAAGAACATTATTTTTATGAGTGTAATAATCTTAGTATATAGTTCTGGCTTCTCCAGTACTTGAATAAAATACCAAACTGAGATAAACCAGAAGTTCATACCTCTGTTCCCTTTCCTTCCCAACCTCAGGTATTTGCTAAAGAAGCTCCTCCAGCTTCAGGCCCTAACAGAAGGGGAGGTACAGACTGCAGCTCCTGCCCACAGCTCTAGTTTGCCCCTGACTTACGGTGTGGCCAGCTCTGTGGGAGCTATCCAGGGAGCTGGGTCCATTTCTGGGCCCAGCACTGGGGCTGAGGAACCATTTGGGAAGAAATCCAAGAAGGAGAAAAAAGAAAAAGGCAAAGAGAACAACAAACTGGAAGGTACCTTGGGGAGAAGATATCACTTGCCCCTGTGGCCCAATGACTAATGGCAAAGACCTGGAACTACTGATAGACACACACGACCACAGATGTCCTTAAACCCTCCTCTGATCCTTACATAGCCCTAATAGCCCTCGGGAAGCAAGTGTATTAGAGCCACTTTGGGTGGAGGACTTCTAGACAGACCTGGTTAAATGTGAAGGGAGCAGGCTCAGGCCGCCCCCACACACACACCCCCAGTTCTCCAGGTTGCCTTCAGTTCAGTCTTTCCTAGAGGCAGGGAAATGGGCTAGGTGGCCTTTTGAGCACACAGATGGCTTGGGAAATTTCTGATCTGATAAATTAAGTAAGAGGCCTTAAAAAGTGGAAGCCTTTTAGGCACTAATATTAAAATTAGCCACTGCCAGGTGGGTGGGTTAGAAAGATACTTTGGGCTTTGGGGGAAAGTCCCATGTGCCCATTCAGTGAGTATATAGAAGCAGGATTGGCTTACTGCTCTTAGCACTCACGTGTAAATTTTTCCCTTCCCCTCAGCGTTGGGAGGGGCCTAAAGTGAGTGACCCCAGATTTGCGTTTCAGTTCTGAAGAAAACATCCAAGAAAAAGAAAATGGAGGGAGGTGCTCGCAAGCTGGTTCAGCCCATTGCCCTGGATCCCTCAGGACGGCCTGTGTTCCCCATCGGACTGGGGGGTCTAACAGTATATAGCCTGGGGGAGGTGAGTGAGACCAGCAATACATAGAGAGGAGACTCAGAAATATGGGAATGGGGTTGAGCCTTCCCTCCCTGTTCCCATTAGCCGCAGCCCCTTGCTGATCCAGACCAACCCCAGAAAACCTCCAGTCCCTAGGAAACCAGGTCAGTTTTGTCTGCTGCCCAGCCTGCACACTTTCTCTCTGTGATTCGAGTCACTCTTTGCAGCCCCAAAGTGGTCTTAAAGGCTACCACAGTACACTGGACTCCTGAATTCTCCAGCGACCTCAGTCGCAGATTGGGGGAATCTTTCTTATAGATCATCACCGACCGACCTGGCTTCCATGATGAGCGCGCCATCTACCCCGTGGGCTACTGCAGTACTCGAATATATGCCAGTGTCAAGTGCCCAGACCGGAAGTGTCTGTATACCTGCCAGATCAAGGATGGTGGCATGCAGCCTCAGGTACCCACTCCACAAATAACCGCTCTTTTCCTTTTCTTTCGAGAACCTTCTCTGTGACATCCACTTAATAGGTATTACCTGTTTTGACCCTTAGAGTACATACTGTATAATAACCATTTGGGTAACTCCAAGATGCAGAAAAGCAATTGGCCCTAAGTCAGACCTTTGTTATTAAGTGCTGGAGCTGGGATTTGAATCTGCCTGGCTGACTCTCATCCTGACGCCCTTTCCTTTGAACCCTGCTGCTTGTACTGTTGCTCTGGTGACTGTGAGGCTGAGCAAGCCTCCTTATGTGTGACGTGCAGGCCTGTGTACCAGAGCGATGATTCTGATACTCTGCCGTTTCAAGAAGGACCAAAATGGAGGAAGCAAAGAAACTACATATTGGTTTCTGATTGCACACACTCTGAAGGACCTGGGAGACGTGAACCTTAGTCTTAAGAAATACCTTTGTTCATCTTTCCCACTGCTGTGATTCAAGGCAGTTCATTTTCCCCAGCCATCACCTCTGATCATTGGGAAAAAATAGACCATTTTCAAAGTTCCAGACTTCACTGTCTGGTGATGTTACAGATCACTAGAAAGTTGGGTGGAAGGAGGTAGAGGCAAGGAAAGGAACCTTTGAGCAGAAGCTGAGAGCCTGCCTGATGCATGTGGATAATACCGCACCGCCCCAATCCTGGTTAGAGCACTGTTAGGTACATGTGAGTGTTCAGATGACCTGACCGTTGCAGGAGTTCTGTTTAGAAAGTACTCTAACAGAAAGACTTATTGTAGCAATATACCATATTTATAACAAATTATAAATTCAGTGCAAATGTAATCAAAATTTAATAGGATTGTAATGGATATCGACAAGCCGATTCCTAATTTCTTTAAAGACAAACTCCTGAAATATTTCTGGAAAGAAGAGTTTGCAGGGTTTTTAGTTTCCTTTTTTTTTTTTTAAAGCTTGTTAACCCCTCTGGACATTATTTTCAGGTACATCGTGAGGTTTAATTCCTTTTTTTTCCAACTAACATGATGTGGTATCTCTAGTGTGCATATAATGCATATTACACTTGAGTATGCTTCCAGATGGTTCTTTTTCATCTCTTTGTTTATAAATGCTACTAGGACTTTTAATTACTTTAGCTTTATAGAATGTTTTATACTATATGTTAACAGAAAATATAGAAGAATATTTTTATAATCTTTGAGGTGAAAGCTTTTCTTGAGCAAGGCATGAAATGTAGAAGCCATAAAGGAAAATAGTAACAGATTTGACCATTAAAAATTTAATAAATGACAAAAGACCCAGTAATCCAAGTTAAAAGTCAAGCAAAAAACAGGAAGAAAATATGTAACAGTGGATTAATATCCAGATAAAGTGCTCCTGTGGTCAAATATAAAAAGCAATCAGATACAACAGGTATTTCATAGAAACAGTGCAGATGGTTGGTAAGAACGGCCCTAATTAGCAATTACGGAAATGCAAATAAAAAGGTCTTACTTAGCTCATGGGCAAACAGCAGAGAGACTGATAATATTTAGTGTTGGCCAGGGTATAGGAAAACAAGTATGCATTAGTATGAGTGAAAATTTCCAGTCTTTTGGAAGGCAACTTAGCAATATCAACAAGTTTAATATGTGTGTCCTTTGACCCAGAATACTGCTAGGTATTCGAGTATTTCCTAGAAAAATGTGCAAATGTGAATAAAAGAGTTACATATAACAATATACATTATGGCATTGTATGCAAAGGCAAGAAATTAGAAATAGCTGAAATATGCATCAGTAGGAGAATGGTTAAAAATTAAGATTTATCCACCTTGTGTAATACTATGTAGCAGTTAAAAGAATGAAGTAGAGTTATACATACAAACAAGGAAAGCTCTCCAAGATCAAAATATGAGATTTTGGCCTTTTATTTGCTCTTTGTGCAAAACAGAATAGTGTGCATACAGTATAAAAGATTGAAATTGATGTGACCCAGTTCCAAATAAGAGAGCCATCCTGGAATATTTGAAGATAATTACTTGCGGTTTTTTTTCATGCATGGCTAAGAAATAAATATAAACCATCAGTATCTTCAACTTGAAACATATGTCTTTGGTTGGTTGAAGTAACAAAACCACTGACTAAAACTCACAATTATTGACAAAATTGAAAGAGCTCTAAAATTTGACACAGTATAATTGAAATAAAAACTGCAGAAGAAAACTTAACAGCTGCAGAAACCGTACTCAGTAAAGTAGATTTTGGATTCTAAAAAATGATCAATAATGCACATGATTGTTTGAAAATATACAGAAAATAAATTAATCCTGTTTGGAATAATTTGATTGAAGTAAACATTAAAAAGCTGAATACTGGTTTTTTTGTTTTGGTTTTTGTTAAGTTTTTATTTAAATTCCAGTGTTGGTTTTGTTAAGTTTTTATTTAAATTTTTATTTAAATTCCAGTGTAATATTAGCTTCAGGAGTAGAATTTAGTGATTCATCACTTACTACAGCACCCAGTGCTTATCACAAGTGCCCTCCTAATCCCCATCGCCCATTAACAGCCCCCGCCCCCGCCTATCTCCCCCCTCCAGTAAACCTGTTTATTCTCTCTAGTTAAGAGTCTGTTTTATGGTTTGCCTCTCCTTTTTTTCCCCCATGTTCATCTGTTTTGTTTCTTAAATTCCACGTATGAGTGAAATCATAGGATACTGTCTTTTTCTGACTTACTTCACTTAGTATAATACATTCTAGCTCCATGTCATTGCAGGTGGCAAGATTTCATTCTTTTGATGGCTTAGTAACATTCTAGTGTGTGTGTGTGTCTGTATGTGTGTGTATATGCCACCTCTTCTTTATCCAGTCATCAGTCGATGGACATTTGGGCTCTTTGTATAATTTGGCTATCCATGTTGATAATGCTGCTGTCAGCATCAGGGTGCATGTTTCCCTTCAGATCACTATGTTTGTATCCTTTGGGTAAATACCCAGTAGTGCAATTGCTGGATCATAGGGTAGTTCTGTTTTTAACTTTTTTTTTTTTTTTTAATTATTTATTTATTTGAGAGAGAGAGAGAGAGAAACAGCATGAGAGGGGATAGGGTCAGAGGGAGAAGCAGGCTCCCCGCTGAGCCGGGAGCCCGATGTGGGACTCGATCCCAGGACTCCGGGATCATGACCTGAGCCGAAGGCAGACGCTTAACCAACTGAGCCACCCAGGCGCCCCTGTTTTTAACTTTTTGAGGAAACTCCGTACTGTTTTCCAGAGTGGCTACACCAATTTGCATTCCCATCAACAGTGCACGAGCGTTCCCCTTTCTCTACGTCCTCACCAACACTTATTTCCTGTGTTAATTTTAGCCATTGTGACCACTGTGAGGTAATACCTCATTGTAATTTTTATTTGTATCTCCCTGATGATGAGTGATGTTGAGCATCTTTTCATGTGTCTGTTAGCCATCTGTGTGTCTTCTTTGGAAAAATGGATACTGTTTAACTGAACTTTATAGAACACTAGTCAAGGAATTTCATTGGCTAAATAGAACTTCTTACAGAAATATTTTCTTTGCAAAAATTCACTGAACTTATAGAAAACTGGTCAAGGAATTAAGTTGGCTAGATAGTATTTGTTACAAAAATACTTTCTTGGCAAAAATTCCTCAGTATAATTTTGATTTAAGGGGTTTTTTTAATAGATACTTTGCTTCAATATTATGGATATTATAGACATAGACAGATATATAGGTATTACAGATACTTGCTTCAGGATATTTTGCAATTCAAAAAATAAACGAGGCTTGCAGTAAAAATGGCCTTCCTCCTAGATACTACAAAGTAAACATAAGGTTACATGATCTTATTTGATCTCATGTATTTCTAAAATACCATTTGTGGGGTGCCAGGTGGGGCTCAGTTGGTTGAGCATCCAACTCTTGATTTTGGCTCAGGTCATGAGATCGAGCCCCAAGTCAGGCTCCCCCTCAGCAGGGAGTCTGCTTTTTCCCTCTCTCTCTTTCTCTCTGTCTCTCTGCCCCTCCCCCCACTGGTGCTGTTCTCTCTGAAATAAATAAATCAGTCTTTAAAAAATAAAAAAAAAAATACCATTTGTATTTGTACTGAAAGATGTAAGTAAGTAGATAGGAAAGGTATGTAGCAAATTAAGTGTTGGCCACTGGAGAGCCGTCAGGCAAGGTGTATAGAACTGAAACAGTCAGAGGACTTTGTGTTTTCTTGGACTCATTTGAATTTTTAACAGCACTCTAGGAAATTGTGCCCACCTTCTAGTATCATATACATCAGCTTCAAGATCTAGAGTGAAGAAGTAGTTATAGGAGTAGGATGACTTTCTACTACTTCCTCCAAGGTTGATCTCATTGCCCTTTGATCTTTCTCAGTTTGAAATTGTTCCTGAAGATGACCCCCAGAACGCCATTGTCACCTCTTCTGCAGACGCCTGTCACGCAGAACTGCTCCAGACCATAAGTGCTGCTATGTAAGTTGAAGCTTGAAGACAGACAAGTCTAAAGAGATCACTTGTGGTACAGTGAGACTTTCCTTGTGTTTAATGTCTGGAGATCCCCTATCTATAGAAAGCTATCCTGCATCCTTTATATTTCTTACCAGAAATCCTTTGGATTTCTCCAGAGTATCCAAGTCAAGAAAGTGTGTTCTCTGCATTCATACCCACGGTCCATTCCTAAACCCATTCTCCTCTCCATCTCGATTTGTAAATTACAAATCCTTCCTCTCCTATTTAGGGGGAAACTAATGCCCAACCTGCTTCCATCTGGAGCTGACTTTTTTGGGTTTTCTCATCCAACTATTCACAACCTGATCCAGAGTTGTCCAGGAGCTCAAAAATGCGTCAAGTAAGTGTGATCAAATCCATTCCCTTGAGAGAAGCACTGTGACCGGCAGTTACTGCTTCGCTCGTTCTTCCGCTTACTGAGCTGCTTCTGTGTGCAGAGTGTGCTTGCTCCGCGGCCAGTGTGCCTCAGTGTTAGTCCTCAGCCTCAAGTGAGCAGGAGCCAGCCCCTCACAGCACTAGAATTACCAGTGTCTGTGAGTACCATGACAGCAGAAGGGTTGCGAAGTCCTGCAGACACCGATCTTCTCTTAGTTTGTTAATATGATTTTTAGATATATATGGGAGAGACCTAGAGGAGAAAATACCTGATCTCTCTGGAAGTCAGAATGGGTTATTACGGCTAACAGACACCCCTTACAGTGATGTCCCTTGATCCTGCAGTTACCAGTGGGTGAAATTTGATGTATGGAAACCCGGAGACGGGCAGCCGCCCCAAGGACTGCCAGAGAATGATGCAACTGTAAGCTTCAAAGCCTTTCAGAGACAGGCCTTTGGTGAAGATCATAGTGATCCCATTCTGCAAGGTATCTTAACTTTACCTTCTGGTTTGAAAATGGACTGTTTTTAGGCCGTCCTCTGCTCTTCATTCAGAGTTGACTACTGCAAATAGCTGGGCAGCAAGGGATAGAAACTGCACCGCGCCGACCACAGAGAGCCCCGGGCGCGAGGACGGGCTGGCTGGCCTGCCGGGCTCCCCAGCAGTGATAGGGGCAGTCACGGGGAGCGGCCGCCGTCGGGGTGAGGCGGGGCCCACGGAGAAATTAGGCTTTCTCTTTTTCTAACCTAAGTAAGACCCAAGCGGGGCTCCAGGGGAGAGTCTACTATGCAGGACTAAAATTTCAAATGAAGCCAAGGGGACCAGGTCATGGCCTTGGTCCTGCCTGTGTTCAGTGGATTCCCTGGCACGAATGGGTGGAACGATCAGGGATCTGGCCTTGGGTGATACAGGGAGAACTCTGGACTGGAAATAACAGAATTAAAATTCTCACTCTCTCCCTCTAATATACTGTATAACCCTAGGCAAATCACGTAATCTGTCTTGGCCACGGTTTTCTTTGTTGTAAAAGTTAAGTTTCTGTCCTATCTTACCAAACAAGCGCAAGATTCGGCTGACAGACGTTAAGGGTGTTAGAAATTGAAAGGACATCCGTGTGTCTTGATTAGTCCCCTGAGATTCCCAGGCAGCAGTGGAACTGAAGGAATTTTCTTCTCCAGGATCCTTGGACCTTCCAGAGCTTCAGCCCACACCCTTCGTGTCTTCTTACGAACCCGTGTTCCTGACGCACGAACCCCTGGTGGACACTCACCTGCAGCACCTGAAGTCTCTGTCACAGTGTAGCCCGACCCCGTCTTCAGATTGAGCAGGAGGGGGTCGCATAGCATGTCATTTAACTTAAAGTAAAACTCCAGATATGGAAGAAGACAGCACTTCAGGAGCGAAGGAGATACCAACACATTTTGTCATGGAGGCTCCTCTGGTGACAGTGTTCCCTGGGAAAAACTTCAGCTGCTTTATTTTTAGCAATAAATTTCTCTTTACAAATCTGCTTATTTTCATCTTGTTGTAATCAGGATTTTTTTTTCCTTTTTTTTTTTTTTTTTTTTTTGGTTAGCCCTGCCTGAGGTAAACTTAGTGTTCTGTAAGCCCGAGTGAGAGGAGGCTGCCGACTCGGGAGGGAGAGGTAGGAATCTGAAAGCCTTGCCCCTGGATTCTGCTCCTAGCTCCAGGAATGAAGTCCTGGCCCCTGCTACCCAAGAAGCTGCTCTGTTTTCATGTCGCTAGGATCACAGCCCAGGGCTACTTGTCCCCGAGCTGGAGAGGCCAGGCTGAGGCACGCCGTTCATCTTCTCCTTCACACGTCACATCCTTCAAGGAAATCAAAAAGTCCTCTGTAATCCTGTCCGCCCCCTTTGCTGTTCCTTATCTGAGAATGTGCTTGTCGCTGAATAAACTGAGTGCACATGATAACAGAGATACAGCGTGTCGGGGGGCAGCCCCCATCCCGCGCGGCAGGCTCCCCCCGTCCCTTCACTAGCCGGCTAATAACATGACTGTATTCTATGCAACTGGATGTGTTGGCCCTGCCCGTGACGCCGAGGGGGAGCTTTCCCGCCTCGCCTGATCCGGACCACAGCAGAGCCGTGTGGGCTGCCTCGCTGGCCGCCAGCCAGGTACCTGGGCCGGCCAGAAGGAAGCCACGGAAGGACCCCAGAAGGGCAAGACCGGAGAACGAGTGGTGACAGGTGTCGCTGTGCCGCAGTTCCTAGCTGCTGACTGGGGACAACAAGAAGGGGGATCTTGTGCCCCAGGAGTAGATGCGCCGGCGGAGGGAGGGGTCGGACAGCCACGCTAAGTGCACAGCGCACTGGCCACGGAAGTACCCGAAACTAAAGTAACCGCCGTTCACTTTATGACTCTTCACTGCAGTCTTTTTATAAGTCTGTGTAGCTTTCCACAGTACAAAAAAATAAAATCTGGATAACAGCAAGCCAGGGGCTCAAAGGGGATGACTCAGAGCTGTCCGTGCTCTCAGGCCTTCCTCTCCTCGCCGCCTAAGTTGGCTGGACGCGTGCCTGCGCAGACGGGACAGCTGCTTTAACACGGAGCGAGGGTCTTCCCCTTGTAGCGCGGTCGGAGTGAAACACGCCAAAACGAGCTCATTTTAAGGAAGACATTTTTTAAATAAGTTATCGTGCTGTTTGCTTTAATAAGAGTATTTACTTTGTAGCCTTCCTAGAGGAGTGGTTTTCAAACTACAGATCTCCACCCACTGCTTGTTCCTAAACTTAGGGAGTCAAGACCTCTGTTTTTTAAATTAAATAAAACAATTAGAACTTAGTAGAATGTGTCACATGTCCAAACGTTGAAATTTGGGTTTCAACTATAGTGTGTACATAATGAATTTATGTAAAAATCACATGCATACACATGAAAGGGGTACATGGAATAAATATAAAATGTTTTTACTGTGGATCATTTTTAAAAAACTTGAACCCCCCCCCCCCAGTATACTTAAGACATCTTTTCATCTATTGGATTGTTAAAGATTTAAATTTGACAATATCCAGTGTCGCTGGGAGTGAGGCTAAACGCTATACCTTGGTGGGCACTTTACCTTGGTGGGACTGTAGACCGTTGGACCCTTCAGGAGAGTTAATCTGTAGGTATCAAAATTTTAAACATATTTTCCTTAAAACTGTTATTCCACATTAAGGATCCTAAGGAGGTAAGTGCGCTATGATGTCTGCATATAACATTCATCACAGTATTCGTTATAACGGAAAAATCGGAACAAACCTCTATGTCCACTAATGGAAAATTGGTTAAATAAAGTAGGGGGCTCCCACAAACTAAAACACTTAAGCTATATTCAATTTACACAGGAAGAGTATTTTACTAGAGTAAGTCAAAAACAGATTTAAAATAATATGACGTGTAGTGTGTAAAATATAGCCCAAGCAAATCAAGTGAATGTTTACCAAAATAGTAAATGTTTTTTGCCAAATGATGAATTTTGGGGTGACTTTTACTTGTTTATTCTTTTTGTTAGTGTCCAAATCTACAATAATTACAAATTTCATTTTTCAAATAGTAAAAAGTTATTTTCATTTGGAAAATAAACTGAATTCCTGCAGAATGTTTTAAATTATTCAGTCATTAAAAATGAAGTTCCACATGACTTCTCATTAATTTACTACCTGAAGCTAATTTTCCCCCTGTGCTTCACTCAGTTACTGGGGGAGGAAGGAGCCTGGGCATAGGGTTCCTGCCCACGTCGAGCCGCCTGCAAATTAGAACAGCCCCTGTGTGCATGTGTGTTGGCAAAGGGGAGGGTAGATTTACTTTTTCTCAGGAGTCTGTTCCTAGGTTCGTGGTTCCCCTTAGGTCAGATGCATATGAGGTCAAAGTATGGGTGTTGGGAGTTAATTCTACACTAGGAAGTCCTCAGAGGAGCCAAAGTTCCTTGTAGACTGCATAGTTGTGTTGGTTTTCTACGAAATAAATCCTGGCGCTGACCGTTCCGGATGCTCAGAGCTATACTGGGGCCCCTTGGGGTCAGGTGCTTCTTGTTTTAGTTCTTTTTCCCATTAAGGGAGTGGAAGCTACTCATGCTTCAAAGGACAGTTTACAAACCTGTTCCTAACCCAGTTTTGATGGGCTATAAATGTATACATGCCACTAAAGATTATACTTTTATTTCCAAATTCCAATAGATGACACAATTATCAAGTGCTGTTAGCTGTTAATCAACCAGTAAAAAGCATTATGATTCTTAACAGTCCACCCAGAGCGCACTTTCACAATTGTCCCATCTGGATTATTTTCCTAAACACTTATCATGGAGCTTTATTTTCAGCCTCTTTTTTCTTCCAGCTGGGTTATCCTTTTTATAGGTAAACCTCTTACCTTAAAAAGCCTGAGATTTATATTGAACCTGTTGGCTTCTCAGTGACCTCTGTTGCCATGTTGTCCGGAGCCTGACTCCCCCACCCGTCCCTGGCTGCCCGCACGCCTTCCTGGGCCGCTCCAGAACCCCCATCTCCTCCTCCCTCAGGCAACCCCTTCGCGCCTCCCCACAGGCCTGCACGCGGGGCTGGTTGGTTTTGAACACTCACGTTATTATTTCAACCAAAGGGACAGAACTGTTTTTGGCTTACGAGAGAACACAAACAGGGCTAGAAAGAGTTCAGTTCCACATAAGGAAAAACTGCTGGGAAGTTCAGAAACTTTATGCAGAGATTCAGTAACCACCCGCCGGAGTCTGTAAAGAACACACAAATATGAGCCTTGAAATCTCTTCCAGCCGGGAGTTTCCAAACGCCAGACGTGAGGTGACAAAGTGTGACACTTCGCACTCTCTACAAGCCTCTCCACTGGGGCTTCATTTGTCTGTAGTTGGGAATTAGTCCAGTAAGACACTAGGCTGACGAGGGGACTAAAGGCAAGCATCTTGTTTGCCTCTCGGCACTGGCTCATCTCCTGTTCAGAATCTAGAAACAGCCATGTGCTGGCTGGGAGCCGGCCGAGGCGGCTTTTCTACCAGCCGCCTTTAAAAGCAATAGTTGTCGTCATCACTTCAACACTGAAATGCCCAAATCTAAAGGACCCACACTGAAGCCCAGGAGAAGGACCGTAAGGCCGCTACGTCATTCGGCAAGCCTGCGGTGGCCCCCCGGCCTCAGGTCTGCCAGGAAAGCCACGAAGGGAGGAGCCGGGAGGGCGCTGCCGGGGTGGTACACGGGGCACCGCTTATATTCACAAGGCCACGTGGCCCAGGCGTAGCGCAGGGCGGCCGGGGTGCCACGGCAAGAACGGACGTTCAGGGCCAGGCTCTGGGCCGAGACCGTGTCCAGGGGAGCTGGCAGCCACTTGCACTGATGGTCACTGCAACACGAGATCTAATAAGAGAATCGTAACATCAGGCCAGGCCAAGAGACTGGGAACTGCTCATCAGACAGACGAGGAAGAGGAGGAGCCACGCTTAGCCCAGGACCCGCTGCCTACGATAACCAGAACAAACCTGAGTCCACGCTGGGTTTGGTCAACACAACCAAAGTGTGACGAGAAATATTCAGGTGATAAAATCAATCGGTAAACGAACGGCTCAATGACTGAGGGAGACAGGGAGGCATGATCACACAGAGCCTTTAGAGACGGCTCCCCTGGACGTGCTTGCTGTGATCCTTCCGACCAGATGGCAAAGCACGCAGGACCTGATTCAGTGGAGCGGTCCGGCTGCTGTGAGCACTCTGGCCTCCCCGAGGAGCCACGGGACGAGGAAGGGGCACAACGGGACCTTGGATAATAAGCCTTTCTCCAACCAGAAAGCAATCCAAGGAAGGGGACATAAAGTATCCAGCACCCACAGGTGAAATTCTGTCCTGCTCCCAACTATGGTTCCGGGTCCAGATGACGGGCAGACTGCCAGCAATTGACTACAGGGGAGAACCGAACTCAGCATGGAGACTTCTGGGGAGCTAGAATTACCTCAGGCCCAGTGTCCAAAGAAGCTCAGGGGCGTAAGTGCCGCCCAAGCCCCTGAGGCCAGTGGATGTGGTAGTTGGGGCTCCAGAGGAGGGGCAGCCCTAGATAAAAACTCAGGTGTAATTCAGGTGTGTCTTTCATGTTCTTTCATGCCCTCCAGTGCCCTCTTCTCATACCCCACCCGCCCCATCCAGCCTGGTGGCCTCATGGTTCCCAGAGACGCTCATCGGCAGGTTGCAAGAGGAATGCCTCCCCCCGCACCCCCAACTGTGGAAGACCCCTACATAAGCTCGTTCGTTCATTGTTTGCCCTAGTTCCACAGTGGAATGATCCTCGCTAGGTACTAGAAGAAAGTAGTTTCATCACATTAATTCACACTGAGTTACAAATCCCCAAGCTAAGCCCCTCAAAGGAGACACTAAGCTCAAAAGAATATCAGAACGTGGGATAGTGTGACATAAAAAGACATCCAAGGATGAGGGAAATACTCGGGAGTAAGGAATCTTTCAATAGGGAACCTATACATTAAGCCACGGGCCCTCGCCACAGCAAAGACGGTTGCTCTGGGAGCGAAAATACAAAAGGAGTATTTTAATGTGAATTCCTTTTCCTTGATTGTCCTATCAAAATTGCCACTAAGTGAAAGAATTAATAGCTACTCAGCCACCCTTCTGAGATAAACTCCGCCCTACTAAAAACCAAGCCCTGGGGGCGCCTGGGTGGCTCAGTCGTTAAGCATCTGCCTTTAGCTCAGGTCATGATCCCAGGGTCCTGGGATCGAGCCCCGCATCGGGCTCCCTGCTC